AAGGGAAGAAAGAAGGAAGGAGGAGAGGGAGGGAGGAAGGAAAGAAATGAGGGAGGAAAGAAGGAAGGAAATGAGGGAGGGAGGGAGGAAAGAAGGAAGAGAGGGAGGGAGGGAGGGAGGAAGGAAAGAAATGAGGGAGGAAGGGAGGAAAGAAGGAAGGAAATGAGGGAGGGAGGGAGGAAAGAAGGAACAAAGGGAGGGAGGAAAGGGGGAAAGAAGGAAGAAGGAGAGGGAGGGAGGGAGGTAGGGAGGCCAGGAGGGAAGAAGGGAAGAAGGAAGGAAATAAAGGAGGAAGGGAAGAAAGAAGGAAGGAGGAGAGGGAGGGAGGAAGGAAAGAAATGAGGGAGGAAAGAAGGAAGGAAATGAAGGAGGAAGGGAGGAAAGGAAGAAAGAAAGGGAGGGAGGGAGGAAGGAAAGAAATGAGGGAGGAAGGGAAGAAAGAAGGAAGGAAAGAAGAAAGAGGAAGAAAGGAAGGAAATAAGTATTTATAGAGCCTACTGTGTGCCAGGCATTGTGCCGAGTGCTTTACAATTATTTCCTCATGTGGTCCTCACAACCCTGAGAGCCAGGTGCTGTTATTATCCTCATTTTACAGATAAGGAAACTGAGGCAGACAGAGGTAGGTAAGGGTCTGAGGAAGACTTGAACTCAGGTCTTCCTGACTCTAGGTCCCATGTGCACTGTGGCATCCCCAGCACATCTTGGGATGCTCACTGAGGGACCGCATGAAAATCTCCCTCTGACACTCCCTGAGCCCTACCAATCTGCTCTCTTCCTGTCCAAATGATTACGGACATGTTTATCTGCACACGCATCATCTCCCCCAGGAGAAGGAAGCTTCTTGAGGGCAGGAATTGTTTCTTATTTTGTCTCAGGATACCCAAAGCCTGGCACGGGGTAGTTGCTTAATAAATGTAGATGAGTTTAAGCCTGACAAACAAATACAATTAAGGGGAGTTAGAACTAGCTGAATGACTGGACCCCAAAATTAGTCGTTAATGGAAGGTCGTCTCCAGTGGAGGGCCACAGGGATCTGTGTTTGACCCTGTCCTTTTTTTTTTTTTTTTGGTTTTGTTTTGTTTTTTAATCGGTGACTTAGATAAAGGAATAGATAGCACTCTTCATCAGATTGGCAGATGGCGTAATGGATGGAGGGAAAGCTAACACTGGAAGATAGAGTCAGCATCCAACAGATCTTGACAGTTTAGAGCATGGGGCTGAATCCAGTAAGGCAAAAATCACCTTTACCAGTACAGATGGTCATGAAAATTAGCATTTTCTTCTCTCCCCCCCTTCAGAGGCAATTGGGGTTAAGTGACTTGCCTAGGGTCACACAGCTAGTGTCTGAGGTCAAATTTGAACTCAGGTCTTCCTGACTCCAGAACTGGTGCTGCATTCACTGCACCACCTAGCTGCCCCTGAAAATGAGCATTTTCACTGAGGAAAGGGGAGTAGAGGACAAAGAGCCAGTCATGTCATTTATTGGGTCAAGTTCAGACTTCTTTGCTTGACATTCAAGGCCTGCCACAACATGGTACCAACCTGACTTTGAAGACTTCTCCTATTACTTCCTTCCATGCATCCTCCCTTCCTTCCTGGGAGCAAAGATTTGCAGCTGAAGCTCAGCCCTACCTTGATTTTACAGATGAGGACACTGAGGTCCATAGAGGTTACATGACTTGCCCAGGGACATAAGAGTATTGGAGGCAGAATTTGAACCCAGGTTTTCCTGACTTCAAGTTAAGCCCTCTATCCACTGCACCACACTTCCCTTCATTTTTTTTCATATTTTTATTTTATTTTTTAAAATTAATTGATTTATTTTAGTTTTCAACATTCACTTCCAGAAACTTTTGAGTTTTAAATTTTCTCCCCCTCCTTCCCTGCCTCCCTCGCCAAGATGGCAGCAATCCAATATAGGCTCTCATACTTCCCTTGCATTTTGACTCTGCCTCCTAAGGCATTGAAAATGCCCTATGATCTGTTCACCTCCACCTATTTGCTTATAGGTGCCTTTTGCTGGAGCACCTTCCCTCCCCAAACTGAATTCCTCCCCATCCTTTGAAAAGTGATCAGTTTTGCTTGACTATGCATATCTAATACAAGGGCTCTGTTTTCGTTTTCTTTTTTCCAATAGGGATGGGGAGGTGAAATGTGGCAAGAAAATTATTTTTAAGTAAAAAAAATTTAAAAATGAAACAAAAAAGCTCAACTCAAATCCTTCTCCTTTGCCAGCCATCTTCTTTGAGAAGCTGGGTCTTCACTGAGCTTTCCCATTAACCTTGCATCATAGCTATCTGGTTGAGTTTAGACATGGTGAGGATAGGGTTAGCGTCTTATCCACACTTCATATCTCCCCCAGCACTCAGTACAGAGCTTGGCACCCACAGGCGCGCCATCCATATGTGTGGAATTGGAATTTGGTGAATGGATATGCTCACTCAAGAATCTGGACTGTTGATAATAGGTGACATGATATGGTACATAGAAGGCTGGCCTTGGAGCCAGGGAGATCTGGGTGCAAATCCTATTTCTGATACACTAGCTAGGCACCTCTGGGCAGCTCTCTAAAACCACAGGTTGCAGAGAGGGTGCCACTCTCCACTGGCAGAGGGAATTTCCTCACCTGGGATTTCCCTGGGACCAATAAAATCACAGGTCCACTCCCTTTCCCTACACTAATTTGGAATATATGCTGATTAGAGACCATCTACAGCTTCCCTTTCCCCCATTCCCCAAGCCCAGGCACCTTGAGGGGCATCTTGGCAAACTCGTTGAGGATGGGCACATCAAATACCAGGCGACGGAGAAGATGCTGGAGCATGGATGGACGGATGTACCTGGGGCCGGGGACAAAGGGTTATTGGTATTAATATGAGCAGTAATGGTAGGAATGGTTGTCATTGAGGAGAAGCAATGGGGTCTAAAGAGAACTAGCTTTGGAGATAGGAAGACCCAGGTTCAGGGGCCACCTCAAACCCAAATGGGTTGTGTGACTCTGGAGAAGTCATTGACCCAGGCTCAACTGCACATGTAGAGTCTCTATCAAGTTGCTTGCCTTCCCAAGGAGTGGGGAGGGAAAGTAGGGAGGGAAAGAATTTGAAACTCAAAATTTTAAAAAAGAATGTTAAAAATTGTTCTTACATGCAATTAAGAAAATTAATAAAAAATAAATTTAATTTAAAAAATGTAATATTTAGTGAAAAAACAAAGAGCGGGGGGAGGGGTGATCTGCCTTGGGAGAAGGAGCTTCCTCACTGTTCATTCACTATACCAATGAAATGACTGGTCCAGTTTAAATAGTAATAATAATAATAATAATAATAAGGATAATAAAGTAGAAGCTTTCTCTCTGGAGCCTTATATTAACCCTGTGAAGTAGGAAATTTTTCTTCAGGGATAATAATAATAATAATAATAATAATAATAATGATGATGATGTAAAGGCTCTGTCACTTGAGCCTAATATTAACCCATGAGGTAGGGATTTTTTTTCAGGGATAATAATAATGATAATGATAGTGATAACTAACATTTATGTAGAGCTTACTATGTACCAGGCATTCTTGCGATTTCATCAATGTGAGGAACTCCTAGTGTGAAACCTCTCTCCACTGATTGGGTCCTATAACTTACAGTCTCAGAAGTAGGCATTGAAGGTATTATCAACATTTTACAGATGGAGAAACTGAGTCTCAGAGAGGTTAAGTGATTTGCCTAAAGTCACACAGCACTGGGAACGGGGTTTAAACTGAGGTCTTCCTGGCTGCAACTTGAGCCTTCTCTCTGAGCACTCCCCATCGCTGCCCATCTGGCTGGTACTGGGATCCCAGGCTGTGGTCCCCTGGCCTCCTTTTCACGGGGTCTGGCCCTTCCTCTTCCCCCTCCTCTCCCACCCATATTCACAGCCCCCTCAGGAGAATGCTCACTCTCCCCTGCACACACCTGCAGAGCGCCATAAGGCAGTCCTCAATGACATCTCGCTGGGCCTTGGTGAGAGAGCGTCCTCGGGACAGGCGGTAGACAGTGTGGAGCATGGAGTCCACCATGATGGCACGGTGCTCTGTGCCCGCAAACAGCGGGGCGCACTTGGTGATGAGAGGAAGCACAGCTGTGCACAGGTAACGGTTCAAGGCCAGGGCCATCTCCGTGGTGCTGAAAGTCGCCTGAAGGACATTGGAGAGTCACCGATCGACAACTGGGAGAGGTCACCTAGCCCAGCTCCAACATTTCACAGTACTGTGTCAGGTTTGGGATTCAAACACAGATCCTGCAACCCCACATCCAACCCTTTTCCCACTGACGCTTAAGGGACTGAGCCCAATCCCTCATTGGCCCAAGGTTGTTACTGAGTGGGGAGGGGGCAGAGCAGAGTGGGGGGATCTTTGGGGGCTCTATAGGGAAGTTCTGTTAGGGGCTGTTAAGACGGGGAGTTCAAATGGGGATATTATCAGAGGGTTATACGGGGAGGGGGTGCTAGATAGAGCATGCGGGTGCTGAAATACAAAAGGCAGTTAATATGGTGGGGGGTCAGAGCATGTGATGTGGAAGAGCTGTTAACATGACGGGCTGAAAGATGTGGCATGGTGGCCATACAGGGGTCATACACAGGGGGCTGTTAACATGGGAGGCCAAAGGGAAGGTATGGCATTAGGGTCATACAGGGGTCTTATATGAGGGAGGTCAAGGAGAAGGTGAGGTGTGGGGATCATACGGGGGTCTTATATGGGGGCTATCAATATAGGGGGTCAAGTAGACAGAGGTAAATGGAGCAAGAGCTGGGACTGTCACTGGAGAGTTGTTTGGAGAGAGTTAGCCAGGGGTATGGTGGAAATGCTATATATACCAGATGAACTGATGCCAAGGAAAGTAAACAGAACCAGGAGAACAATTTATACAATAAGCACAATATGAAATAAAATAACGTGGAAAGACAACAGAACTCTGATCAGCACTGGGGCCAATGGTGACTTCAGAGGACTGACATGGAAACATGACTTCTACCTCTCGGCAAAGAGGTGGTGGTGTGGAATGAGGTGTGCATGGTCAGGTGTGATCAACATAGTGATTAGTTTTGTTTGGGTATTTCTTTGCTAGAAGGGAGGGTTTTTTTTTCAAAGAGGGGCAAGTGACAGTAATAAAGGGGTCAAGGTATCAATAAAATAGTTTTTTTAATGTTAAAATTTGTCCCCAAAGAAATGGGAGAATGCACTTCCTTCCACACATTACAAAAGTGTGGGGTACTTCATACATTGTTTGATCTGGTTGATGTATTGCTGAACTGTTTTCTTTTTTTTTTAAGTCTTTATTATAAGGGAGTCTCTCTGGAAGGGGGAGGAAGGAAGGTTATAGTGAGAAATGAAAGTGATATTAAAAATGACAAATATTAAAAAGAAATGCTAGACAGGATGTGCTCAGTGGGCTGTGGTATGGTGGTAGTGTCATGGTAAGGGTGTTACATGGGGAATTTAGCAGGAGGATTATGGGGGGCTATTATAGAAAGGAATGATATGTGTGGTCATTCTATGGGGGGTTTATGTTGCGCTCTTATGTGAGGATGTATTGTGGGGTGTTATGGGGGAGGCATTCCCTAAAGAGTGTTTGGGGGATCTGTGGGAGGGGTGAGGCTGGGGGTGGGGCAGGGAGCAGGTCACTCACCGTGTCCAGGGAGGCAGCTGCCCGCATGTCAGGCAGGAAGCCTACATCTAGTACGTGGAGGAGAAAGTCCTGGCTATCAATGCCATAGACGCGGTCCAGGAAGAGGACCATGGGGGCCTTGTGGTCAGGCACGAAGGAGGCTGACATCCGGGGCTGCACCAGGGCCCCGTCTGGCAGAGGGCATCCAGGAGGGATAGTGTTAGACTCTGTCCAATTCAACTGCCCCTAAGGCCCTGATCCCCAGATGTCTGGCTTCCAACCTTTCCTTTAAACGAATCCCCACCCCTTCCCTGAGCCCTGTACCTTTCCCCAGGGTGGGGATCTGAAGGGGCAGGCTGATAATGCCCACGAGGTCATCCAGGGGCACCAGGGAACGCAGGATGGCCCGGATCCTCAGAGCTTCTCCCTTCCCAGCCTGGATCAGCTGTGATGGCAAAGGGAACAGAGAAGGGCAGATCTTGACCCTCCCCTCTAGTTCCATTGCCATGACCCCTGCCCAGCTGTCCCCCTTCGCCCTGACACTCACGTGAGTCTCGGGAGCACAGCGACCCAGCAGGTCAATCAGGGCTGAGTAGAATGACATGATGGCGTGTCCCAGGTGCACACGATTTTCTTCAGGGGCCTCCTCACCCCCATGGCTGAGTGAAGAAAGTCAATTAGTCAGTCAACAAGCATTTATTAAGCACCTACTATGTCCCAAGCACTGTGCTAAGTGTTTTCCAAACAACCCTGGGAGGTAGGTGTTATCATCCCATTTTACAGATGAAGGAACTGAGGCAGACAGAGGTTAGGTGACTTGTCCAAGGTCACACAGCTAGTAAGTTTCTGAGGCTTGATTTGAACTCAGATTTCTTAGTCCAGGCTTCGAGCTCCTATCCACTGCCTTTATAAAGAAAGAAGAATCCTTGCCCTCAAGGAGCTTACAGTCTAATGGGGGAGACAGCAACCAAATGCGTACAAGACATATACATCATAAATGGGAGATAATCTCAAGCAATAGGGGTGGACCAGGAAAGGACCCCTGGGGGAGGTGGAAAGGCTGACGAGAAAATGAGGCAAAGCTGGGACAGGCAGAAGCCAGGAAGTTGCAGAAATGATGCAGTGTATAGAGTGATGTACCTGGACACCAGAAGACCTGAGTTCGAATCCTGTTTCAAGATGTTTATTACCTGAGTGACCCTGGGCAAGTCACTTAACCTCTGTTTGCCTCAGTTTCCCCATCTACAAAATAGGGATAATCATAATACCTTCCTCCCAGCATTGTTGTGAAAATAAAAGGAGGTAATTTAGCAAAGCTCTTTACAAGCCTTTAAGTGCTATGCAACTGCTGGCTAGTAAAAGATTAACTGGCGCTGTCCAAAAACACTTCAGGAGGTAATGAGCCCCTCATGAGTCTGGACCTTCAAGGATTGGATGACTGGACCAGTGATTCTTAACCTGGGAGTCTGTGAACTTTTATTTTTTTTTTTAATATTTTGATAAATGAATTTCAATAGAATTGGTTTCTTCTGTAATTCTGTGTATTTATGAATTTAAAAGCATGATTCTGAGAAGGGACCTAGGCTTCACCAGACTCCTAAGGGAGTCCAGGACACAGAAAAGATTTAAACCCTTTGAATTGCCAGAATTGGGGGGAGGGGCTGCTTTTAATTCTGGGATTCTGTGGTTACTCACTGGTCCCGCCTCCGGTCCTTCCTGACGCCTGGGCCGTCTCGAGCAGGGTCCTCTGAGATCCGGATTGCCTCTTCCATAGAGGCCAGCAGCCCAGAGCCTCCCTCTCCTCTCAGGGCTGGACCAAAGCACTCAGGGCGCCGGATGAGCAGGCGCACCACGACATTGGCATTCTCTTCCACGCTCTCTCCTGGGAGTGTTGGGTAGGCAGGCAGGTAGAGAGCTTAGGCCTCAGAGGCCAGTCAGCTGCCCCCCCTTACCTTATGGCCTGACCTCATGGACACAATCCCTTCCCAGCCTTCCTCCCTTCCTCCATGGAGCCTGCCTGGACTCCTGTTCCCTTACTTCCTGCATCCTCACCATTAACAAAGACCGCGAATCTGAGGAAGTCAAGATAGCGCTCCCCGCCACAGGGGTTCCAGCCAATATCAGGGTAGCCCTTGGCCAGCAACATCGGGCAGCTCTGAAGGCCACAGCCAGCTAGGTATGAGACTACCTGAAAGGGAAGGGGGAGAGGGATGGGGTCATCCAGGCCACCCCCTGGCCCCACATGTACGTGCCCACGCACATACAAGTCAGGACTCTCATGGGGTCATCAAATTTAGACCTCGAAGTTCCCGTGAATGCCACCTCCTCATTTTACTGGGGCCACCCTCCACATAGAGCTGTGTGAGGGCAAAGCTGTGTCATCCCTTCCCCTTAGGCCAGTGGCCCTCAGAGGACGGAGCCCAATCTCCCCTTTGGCTGGAGCACTGACTTTCCTGAGAGTCATATTATCCCTCAGGCCACCGGGCGAGGTTTGGGGCAGGGGGGCCACTCAGAGGGTCTGGCGGGTCCAAGGAATCCCTACCTTGTCTAGGTCCTGTTCCTGAAGGGCCAGGGCCAACTCATTGTTGTCTATGACCGAGGCAGCTGCCACGTCTAGGGGGGTGGAGCCCTGCATGCCTGCACAGGGGACAGAAGGATGACTCAGGAGTGGGGAGAGACGTGGAGGGCCTGGGGATGGGGCTGGGCCTCAGGGCAGCAGGACACTCACCGAGGCCAATTCCGCTGTTCTCCAGCAGATAGCTGAGGTGGTCAAACATGGACCTTTGGTTTTGGCGACTGATACGACAGAAATAGCAAAGGAACCGACAGCAGCTGGTGACCATTTTGGGGAAGCGGATTTCCTAAAAGGAGGCCAGGCAACACCGGGCTGTGAGCTAGAGCCTTCTCCCCTTAGCCTGTCTTAAGAGAAGCTTCTCCCCCAACACCCCAGGCTCTGATTTTTCCCCCCTCCCTACCAGTCTCAGGAGCTGAGAGCCTTCTTTCCCCTGAAGTCCCAGTCTCTGAATTTTTTTCCTCTTTCCTTCTTAGACTTTGGTTCTGAGAGCCTTCTTTCCCCTGAAGCCCCAAGCCTCTGAGAATCTTATTTTTCCTATAACCCTCCACTTTGAAAGCTTTTTTCCCTCTGTTGAATCAGGCTTAGATAGACTTCTCTTCCCAACAGTCCCAGTCTTGACTTACCTTAGACTCTCCCCCTCCTAACACATTGACCATGACTTCCATCACTGTTTCATGCATCCCCAACGCCCTCATCAGATTTGGGTGCTGGTAGAAAACCTTGTTGTTCATGATATTTCTGCACAAGAAAGGAGAGATGGGCTTACTGGAGTTTCCAAGTCCCTGGCCCCCTGACTGAGGGGGAGAGGAGGAAACAGAATGCCTGGGCTGGGATTCTGGAGAGAGGGTTTTCTGGTCAGTTGTGAGTGGGCTGGGAAGAGGTGGGGTCAGATTCCTTCCTGGAAGAGGTAAATAGGGCCAGGGAAGGTCAGAGAATCAGTTCCTAAGGACCTCAAAGGCCTGGAAGCTGGCCATGAAGAGAGTAGCTGAAGCCAGAGAATAATGATTAATAGTAATAGCTAACATTTATTCATATAGCAATTTACAAAATACTTTGCAAATATTACCTCATTTGACCCTCACCATTACCCTATGGGGTAGATGCTATTATTATCCCCTTTCTATGGAGAAGGAAGTTGAGGCCCAAGGAAATAGGGAGAGAAATTAGGGATAGAGACTGGGATGGAAATAGAGTGATGATATGGAGGGATGAAATCACACAGAATCATAGAACCTGGAACTGGAAAGGATCTCAAAGGGCATCTAGGTTCAGAAGATAATAGACTTAGGGCAACAAAGGCCTTAGGAGCTCATCCGGGAGGCAGTCTAGTATAGTGGACAGAGAGCAAGCCTCAGAGTCCTACAGACCTGAGTTCAAGTCTCACTGTTGAGATGTGCTAGCTGTGTGACCCTGGGCCAGTCATCTAACATATCAGTGATCTAGGCAACTTCCTATATGTTGTAGAGTGCAGACAGGGTTATGGTGAGGGACAGATGAGATAATATTTATAAAATGCTAACCTGCATTGACAGGGGGAATGTCTTTATCTGGGAGTTCCCTAAGCCAAGAATCCCAGGCTCAGCCCCTCTCCCTAGCCTCAGGCCATCCATCCCAAGCACCAGAAGGAAAAAGAGACCAGAGATCAGCAGCAGCTGGTCAGGATGTGGGGGATGGGGGAGGGATGGCTATCAGTCCAAGGCAAGGGTGAAGGAGGGGAGGCTTACCCAATGCTCTGTATCATGAGATTCTCTTCCTGTGGTCCCATCTGCACAATGAGCAGGGAGCGGATCTGGCATAGACATTCCAGGAGGCTCATGGTGTCCTCCACGGAGGATGGGGATATGGTGTAGGCTCTGGGCAGGGCACGCAGCAGCTCCCCAACGCCATCATACTGGCGGTGGAGGAGGCTGAACATGACCCGGACCAGCTCTGGGTTCTGGATAAAGTCCTCTTTGGCCCAGCACACCATCGTGTGAGAGACCAGCTCCTGCAAGGACTCTGAGGAGGCAGAGGAGGCAAGGGCGGGTGGGGATAGGGCGAAGAGTCAGACCAGCCCGGATCTACTTCCCTGCACAAGGGCCAAGCTGTGACAGCAGCTCCTGGCTCCAAGGCTGGCTCTCTTTCCCCAATCCAGGCTGCCATATTCTCCCCTCCTCCCACCTGCTACTTTATCGCTGCCTTCTGTTTCTGCCTTTCCAGCTCCCTGCCTTCTCTTAGCTGTCTCTTCCTGGTGTTGCTTCTCCTGTGGTTTTGGGTGTGCCGTGTTTCCCCACTCGGGCTGGGCACCTCCCCGGGCTGGGTCATGCCTCCCCTTAGGAGGCTGGGCCCCTCCTCCTCACCAGGCTTTTTCTCTTCGGGAGCGGGGGTGTCCTCTGGCTCCTCCTCCTTCTTCTTCACCAGCTTCACCTTTTCCAAAAAGCTCATCAGCCGACCTCCCAGCGTGGTCTCCTCTTCCACTTCCTCCTCTGCTCCTTCCAAATGGATGCCTAATAGAGAGAAGGGAGTGTGTGAGCTGGCCTGGTCTGGGGGAGGGGACGTAGGAGGGAGCCAGGCTTTTCCGGGGGATGGGGAGTAGGCGCGGCCTCTGGGAGAGATCTAGGGAAGGGTGTCCCTCCTCACCACAGTGCAGGAGCAGGTCCTGGTGAAAATCTAACAGCTCCTGCCGAATTTCATCCGGGACTGGACAATCCTCCTCATCTTCCCCCCCTTTGAAATGCAGAAGCATGTTGATCTGGAAGGAAACCAGAGTCTGACTGGTCAGAGGACAGAGTGGGGCTGGAGAATAAGGTCTGATGGGTCAGGGCTCGAGGAATGGGGCTTGAAGACCAAGGATGAGAAAGCAGAGAAGGCAGAACGGGCACGGAGGCTCAGTGGTCAGGGACAAGAGATGGAGGACTGGAATTCATAGCAAGGAGCTGAGGGTGAGTCAGAGGGCAGGGACTGGATGGAAGGTCATAGGCCACAAGTAGGGGGTCAGAGGTCAGAGAAAGGGAATCTGAGGGTCAGAAGGTAGAGTGTGTGGGGGGTTAGAAAGTCAAAGTAGGGTTTGGAGGGTTGTGAATGGGGGGCAAGGGGTTAAGGAGCAGGGGAAGGAACATAGGGCCAGAGAAGGGGTGGTCAATGGTCAGGGAACAGGGGATGAGGGTCAGGGAGCAGGTCAGAGGTCATGGATCAGGGGAGGGAGAAATAGATTCAAGGAATAGGGGGTAGAAAATTGGGGGTGGGGATAAGGGAAAGAGAAGGGAAGGGAATAAGGAGTTATGTAATACCTACTATGTGCAAGGCACTGGATTAAGGGTTCAGAGAAGAGGGAGTAAAGGGCCTGTGAGCCAGGGATGAAGAATCAGGGGTCAGGGGGGTGGGAGGGAAGGGTTAGGGGCCAGAGAAGAGGGGGATGGAGGGCCAGGGGTCAGGGGGGTGGGAAGGAAGGGTTAGGGGCCAGAGAAGACGGGGATGGAGGACCAGGGGTCCTCCAGCTGGGTCTGGGTCATGAGGCACCTGCTCCTGGGGTGGAGAACGGAACTCTCGGGTGCGCCGGGCAGTCTCCGCTGCAGACATGGTGAACGCCCTCATGAGCAGGCCATAGCGGGTGCGCTGGTTGCCTTGAAGGCAGTTGACGTAACGCTCTGAGAAGGCAATGAGAGCCTCCACGCGGTGCTGCAGCTCCTGGTCACAGAAGTACTCCAGCAGATGACACATCTGGAGGCCGGAGGAGGAAGCGTGAGCCCGTGGGCAGCCAGAGCGCGCATCATCTGGCAGCTGATGACCCATCTGGGCCCTGCGGCCACAGTATCAGGCTGTGCACCAGGACCACCACTCAACCCACCTGTAACTTGACTGACTCTGGCAACTTCATCTGCAGAAGTCCTTCCTCCACAGCTTCCTCTTCCTCTCCCTCCTCCTCCTCCTCCTCCTCCTTTTCCTCTTCCTCTCCTTCATCCTCTTCCTTCTCTTCCTCATCCTCCTCTTCCTCCTCCTCCTCTTCCTCTTCTTTGAAAACCTCAGGCTCAATCATCCTCAGAATTTGCTTAACATCCTCGTCCCCAAAGATGCCCATCACCTGTGGGATCAATTCCAGACGGTCACTGCGGGTGGGATTGGAGACTTCCACCATTGAAGGTTGAAGTCCCTCTTCTTTGTCATTCTGCACCCCTCATATTCCTCTCCACATGCTCTCTGCCTCCTCAGCCTGTCTTCTCCCTGTCCCACACACAATCCATGGCATTGCTTTCCTATTCCCCTCTCCCACCCCTTTCCATCCTCTGAGAAAGTCTGTCCGATCCCAGGCCACTCCCTCTGGGTCAGTCCCACAAGCTCTTCCCATGGGGTCGCCCAGCCAGGCTTGGGTGGGTAGGAAGGCTGTATGTGATGGATGGGGTGTGTGACCACAGGATGTTATAAGCAACTATGAGAAAGAGAAAGGGATAATAGATCAAGAGAGTGAACAGTCAGAGGTGTCAGTGGAAGGGGGTGACTGATGGATGGAGTGAATAACTAATAGATGGAGAAAGTAACCAATTGCAAGGCTAAGTGACTGACAGATGACATGAATGATTGATGGATAAAGTAAGTGATTCGTGGTCAGAGTTAGAGGCTGTGAAATATGGAGGGAGACTGATGGATAGAATTAGTGACGGATGGAGGGAGCGAATAACTCGGTGATTACCAGCAGAGTGGACACCAGTTTGAGGACCGGAACAAACTGGAACTCCACAGAGCCACCCACAGGGTCCCGGGCGTGCTGGCCTCCATCTCGCACAGCCTCCCCTAGCATCCTCAATGCCTTATCGCGGAGCACCTCCAAAGGGATGGAGGGGCTGAAGCGAGCAGGGGCCTCAGCAGAACCTGCCCCCACCGGGGATGCCACGAAGCAGGGGGGAGAAAAGTGGAGAGGTGGGCGCAGGGAAGTGGAGGTCCCCACACCAGGCAGCCCGTGACGCCGCCGGGGGCTCTCCTCCCCAGGTTCAGCGGGGGGGCTGGGAGGGAAGAGCGTGATGGTGCTGGTCTCAGGCGTCAGCGGCACAATATACTCATTGAGCATGGAGCGTCGGGAGCGGCAGGCGCTCTCCAGGTGAATGCTGATGAGCAGGTCATAGTAGCCAGCTCTCAGTGGGCCAGGGAGGTGGGCATCCTCGATGGCATGAAGCAGCTGGGCCTGGTCCACGTGGCTGCAGAGTGCGTGGGCCACTCGGTTGTTCCCCAAGGCACACACAGCCCGGTAGAGGTTCAGTGTGTGGGAGTGGAAACGCTGCAAGGAGAGGCGTTCCGATAGCTCCAGGATGTCCATACAGCTGTGAGCAGAAGAGGAGAAGGAGAGAGACAGAGAGGGATGAAGAGTGAGGCAGAAGGAGACAGGAAAGAGACAGAGACATGGCAGGATTGAGAGACGGAAGACTGGGAAAGGCAGGTGTGGTAGGAGGGGACAAGAAAGTACAGATAGTGAGAGATAGAGTGGGAGACAGGGAGGGAGGGAGGGAGACAGGGACAGAGATATAGAGAAATGGTGAGGAATAGGAGGGAGGGAGGGAGGGAGAGATTTAGGCAGGTAGACAGAAAGAGTGAGAGATTACAGAGAGAGACATAAACAGAAAGAGAAAGGGAGAGAGACAGAGACAAAGGGAAAGGGGAGAGAAAGAAAGAGAGATAGAGACAGAGAGAAGGAAAGAAGGAGAGGCAAAGACAGAGGGACATGTCATGCACAATAGAAAGAAAATAGCTACAGAGAACCAGACACATAAGCTTGAGGAGGGCAGGGAATTTGAAAGGTTCTAGGTTCCCCAGGATAGGGGTAGAGAAGTTGGAGGGGTCTCCTGAGGCTTGGGCGGGGTGTGAGGGGGTGCTCACCGATTCTCCTCAGGGATGTGCAAGGCCATCATGGTGAGTGGGTCCTCACACTGAACAGCCCAGCCCAGTCGGTCACCCGCCCGGTGTGTCTCCACTTGCAGGAAGTGGTTGGGCATCCTGCTCCAGGACACGGGCATGAGCATCTGCACCTCCAGGCGTGGGGGGCACTGTGGGGCTGGGTTCTTCCGCTCACTCAGGAACATGGCAGCTGACAGAGGCATGATGTTCTGATAGAGGAGAGGGAATGGGGCCAGGGGAAAGTTGAGTGGTTTGAAGTTCAGGGACTCCATCCCCTACCTTACCCAGCTGTTCACTCATACCATCCTTTCTCTTTATACCAGCCAAACTGGACCATGCTGTTTCTTGCTCTCCCCACCTCCCTGCCTTTGCTCACACTTTTTCCTGTATTTATAATGTTCCTGGCTAGTCACCTGATCCTCCCAGGGTCAGTGATGGCCTTCTCCCTCAGCCCTCAGAGAGCACTTTGCCCTTTGGACAGCTCATGGAATAGTGTATGTTGGTAATGTTGTAAGCTTCCAGAAGGCAGGAACCTAATACTATCTAAACTTTATTCTCCTCTAATAATTTGGTCAAAGTCAGTGAAAGTTTGTGTAATTGATGAATGAGCGAATAGATCTCTCTAGTATTCATTCCACCCATGTATTACTCATTCCAGCCACTCAAGATCCATTGCACACTCATACTATGTATCCATCCCTCAATGACTCTATCCATCCAACCTTCCTCTTATCTACTGACCATACCATTCATGCTTCCACCACTTACTCACATCATTCATCCCTCATCCTATTCACTGGCCACTCCACCCATGTATCAGTTATTCCATCCATTCATCCATCCCTTGAATTATCTATCTATCTATCTATCTATCTATCTATCTATCTATCTATCTATCTATCTATCTA